GGTGAACTTGGTCCAAGGGAGTCTTTGCTCTTTTCTTTCTTTCTTTCTTTCTTTCTTTCTTTCTTTCTTTCTTTCTTTCTTTCTTTCTTTCGCATTTATTCAGTTCATTAGTCACCCCTCGGTGTGAACAACTACATGGTGTATGTATTTCAATTTAAAAAGGCAGACCAAGGCTCTGAGTCATAACTGGAAGCCTGGCAGGATCAATTGGCCAGTGTGGACTTGCAGGGGGGGGGGTGTCTTTGAAATGCAGCAGAAAGAAAAGGGGGGACAGCTGGTTTGGGGGGATTGGACTTAATAGAAAGGTAGCTTTTTGCAATGTGAGAGGCTCTTCCGTGCTTTGGGGCTCACATGCTCTGCCTTTGATACTTTAAACATAACCACTTTAATCCCAGTTTAATGTCTCAGGGGACTGTAGTAGGGAATATCTAAAAAACCACACACAGCAGGCACTATAAATTCCACGCACACAACAGCCCACACTTTGCTAGAGAGAAGTTCCCAGATGATGGGCTCCAGCACCAGTCCAAAAGCTCGGAAGACAAAACCTCTATTCTCGTTGACCGACTCAGGTTGGATCCTGCGACATAATCCTGGGACATGTAGATTCACCTTCATTCGTGAAAGTCTTCTGCCTCTCCTGGTTTGAGAAAGAGAAGGGGCGAAACACTAAATCAAGGTTTGCGCAGGCTCATGTAGGAGTCATGATGGGTCCAGCCAAGAGCCTCTGAAATCCAGCTAGCGACATAGGAGGGGCCCTTAATCAGGATCTGAGCCGTGGTCTTCCTCTCGCTCGCTCGCCCACCACACGTGGGTGGAGAGTTGTTCTGCTCTGCCTTGAACTTCTCTCATTGACGTGGAACCCATTTCCTGGGGTGCCACCAGGGCTGACCCTCCAGACCTCTTGTCTTTCAGGCAGCGAGAGGGGAGAAGCGTCATGGCTGCGTCTCGCCTATCCCAGCAGGCAGACATTCGCATTGAGGGGAGGGGGGGGGAGATAGGAATGTGAAGGGGGGGGAGGGAGGGATGGAAGCCCAGCTGAGCCTCGTGAGAAGCTCAGCCATCCAAGGTCATTAACCCACCTGCAGAGCTGGGAACCCAGCACCTGTTTCCTGACGAATAGACGAGCACCTGGTTGGTCTTCTGCAGATGGGATGGATGGACTGAGGGAACTTTCCTCTGTCATCCGCAGGGAGAAACCTCCCAGTCAGCTGAGGCTCTCTTGCTAGCCCTTTAAGCTCCAGGGAAGGCCACTCTTGGCAAAACCAAATGGCCCCTCCTTTGCTCCATGACTGGAGGGGGGCCGAGTGAGGAAGGCCCCGTGCTTCCCCTTGTCAGCTCCTCAAAAGAGATTGTGGGTGTTCGCAGGGGCTGAAAAGGGTACTAGATTTAACTTCCTTGCTCAGCCAAGTTGCAAAGCCTGGTTTCAAAGTTTCATATGGTTTAGTTCCTCCGGAATCTGTGGGTTTGTGTGTGGCCGGAAGTGGGAGAGTTGTCAGGGATGCCGGTCAAAACATCCCTCTTGGCAAATGAGCCTCAGCCTGATTTCGTTTTCCATGCAGGGAAAGTAGGAGGCACAGCTCTCGTGTAGCTCTTCCTTCGAGAATTCCTCTAGAGTTCACCTTTCTTGCCCGTTCTGTTGTTTTGAACCTTAGGGATATTCCTCCAGGGTTCGGACAGGGATACGCCAAAGGAAAACTGGTCAAGAAGTGAAAGAAGCAGCTTTTGAACCCTCAATGGAAACGGCCTTTAAAAGTAGGTGCCCATCTATGTCGGGGGGGGGGGAGGGTCCTTAACTCTGCCAGAATCAGGGCCGGCAGAAGCCAGTGGAGTCCTGTTTTTTTCTACCCTACTTGCTCTGATTTAAAAGATGTCCGCTGTGCAAATAAAGCATGCCATCCGATTCCTGCTTAAACCCTAGACTTCTTGGGCAGGATTCAACTCTGAACCAAGTAAAGGTACTTTGATCCTGGCATGGGCACCCTCTTTTCCTCCTTAGAGGAGTACACAGTCCTTTCATGAGGTGTGTCAAACAGGAAATGTGTGTGTGCGCACACACAAACACACGCGGAAACCTTTGGTTTTTACTAAATGTAAAATTGGCCCTGTGCAGGAAACCTTTAGGGCCGTGATGGTGAATCTATGGCACGCAGAGCCCTCTCTGTGGGCACACACACCATTGCTAGCTGGGCTTCTGGTTTCAGCACAGACATGGGCACAAGCCAGCTGGTCTTCGTGGGCACTGGAAAATGGCCTGAAAACAGCCAAAAAAAAAGGGCCAAAAAACAGGCATGCGCCCGATGGCCAGCCGGTCTTCAGGTTTCCAGTGCTCCAGCATGCACACATGCATGCCCATTCATGGACATTCTGATTTGGGCACTCGGTGCCAAAAGGGTTCAGCATCCCTGCTTTAGGGAATCGTCTTGGTGCAACCCTTTCTCAAGGAGAGAAACTATCTCCAGTTAATTGCTCTTTTCTCTTTTATCAGTTCACCAGGCAGGACGATGGGTCGTGGCCGGGGGCGCTGCTGTCGGTCTCGGCGCTCTCTGTTATTATGGGCTGGGCATGTCCAATGAAATCGGCGCACTGGAAAAAGCTGTGTAAGCAGTTTATTTCTAATGGGAACCATCTCTGGCCGTACCGGCCTTTGGGAACCTCAGCGGATATGGAGCTATTTAGTAATCCAACAGATATGTATATGTATATCCAAGCCCACAAGGGAGAAAACATGGCATATTCATCTCGCAATTAAAGTAATTACAGTAAAATCAATGTATGGATAGTTCTGAGTACACGCTGGAGAAATGTAGTGGAAGGTGATTTGCGATTCAGACCCTAGCAATAATCTATTTTTAAAGATTCACTTAAATTACTTCAAGGGGGGAGGGGGGAACACCTCACAAAGTTGGGTATTGATTTAATCATCATGCCAAGAACTGGGTTTGCTGAGTGGAAAAACCTTGGCAAAAATAAATAAACCAATCTTGATAAAGAGAGCCCTGTTTAGCCTGTTGGCTTGTTTGAAGCTTTCTTATTTGTTTTGGTTTAGCATATAATGAATGAAAGTCCCGAAGGAGCTTTTTCAAAAGGCAACTGGACTTTGTTTTTCCTTGAAAATGTTTTGCTTCTCATCCAAGAAACTTCTGGAGGAACTGAAGAAGCTTCTTGGATGAGAGATGACACTTTTCCAGGGAAAAAAACAAGAAAGTCCAGCTGCCTTTTGTAAAAGCACCTTTGGGACAACCATGAGCTGGAAGGCTGAGAATCTCCCTAGACTTATTAACAGGGGGTCCTTGGTGAGCGTAAGGGTTGCCATATTCTTCCAAAGGGACTTCCCTTGACTTTTGTGACATCCTAGATTTACCTCAGAAAGAATGAAACCCAGAAAACAGGCTGCAGAAATTAAATCTTGTGGGTCTTACTGTAACAACAAAAGTTTGCTTGTAAGAATATTCCAAATGAATTTTATTGTTTTGCAAAATTTATGGCATCTTTCCGCTTGAATGGAGAGCCTCCGTCCACTTGGAAGTTCGGAGGGAAGAGGAGGTCTTCAGCCCCAAACTGAGAATCTGTGCAATTGCTTTTAAAAAGAGGCATTTCAGGAGGCTCATGCACAAAACGCCTCTCCGTGCCTGCGTAATGAACTCACATAATAATTTTGGACCTTTGCTGGGGGGGGGGGGGGCGATAGCTGTGTACTTACAGCCCTTTGGGCACAGCCAAGGGCAGCTTTCATGGGCCTGAAGAAAGAGGCAGCTGCTTTAATGATGAGAGAGGAGCTGGCATTCCAGTGGGCTCTGTTTTGAAGGGTTTGCATAACCCTGGCATGGTCCCTCATTGGATTTAGTCCCAGCATGTGGCTACAGATAGTCCTTGACTTACAGCACTTTGTCTAGTGACTGTTCGGAGTCAGTTGTAAGTCGAGGACTATCTATATGCAACACGACCGATACGCCATCAGAGAAAAGGACAGAGTTTCTTGCCCTATCTGTGTAGTGGGAGGCTTACCCTATGGTTTTTTCTGTGGTTTTTCCAGGATTTGGCCCCAGTATGTGAAGGACCGGATTCATTCCACTTACATGTACTTTGTCGGAAGCATAGGCTTGACCGCCTTGTCTGCAGTGGCCGTCAGCAGAACTCCTGCCATGATGGGGCTCATGATGAAGGGTTCCTGGCTGGTAAGGTTTCCTCTCTCTGCCCTGTGTGGGGAGGGGGGGAGAGACACCCAACTGTTATGGGTGCAGATGAGGTGAAACTTGTCTTAGTGCCAATAGCTGTGAGAGGGATCTAGAGGACAATCGTTTAAATATGAGCCAACAGTCTGCGGTAGCAGCCTTAAAAACCCAACGTAATCCTGTTACGCTGTTACCTTCCCACCAACGGAATCCTAGGCTGCATTAACAGAGTGATAGAATCAACATCACATGAACTTCTAGTGCCACTTTACAAAACCTTAGTGAGCTTGGAAATGCTGCATCCATTTCTGGGCACCACAATACAGAAAAGAATGGTGAGACTCTGGAAAGAGTACAGAGAAGAGCAACAACGATGATTAAAGGTCAGGAGGCTAAAACATACGAAGAACGGTTGCGGGAACTGGGTATGACTAGTTTAAGGAAAAGGAGGACTAGGGAAGATATGACAGCAGTCTTCTAATATTTGAGAGGCTCTTACAAAGACAAAGGGGTCAAATTGTTTTCCAAAACACTAAAAGGCAAAATGAGAAACAATGGATGGAAATTGATCAAGGAGAGAAGCAACCTAGAACTTAAAAATTTCCTAACTAGGTGAGCCCTTTTGCTTGCAGCCAGGCAAGAAGTTGTGATGGTAAAGTGGGGGTGGGCCTGGGACCATTTGTTTACATTTACTTATTTTTGCCTATTTATTGTAATATTGTTATGCCACATGTCTCCCCTGCAAGGAGACTCTACACAGCTTCAGATTATAGAATAGGTAGAAAAAAATCATTAGAATATTCTGCTTAGCTGTCGTTTAATCACTTATTTAGCAATACCTCCAGCAAGGAACGTTTAGGAAAGAAACACAATCAAACCTCAACTTTTTATTTTTACCTAATAATATAAACTAGCCATTTGCTATAACAAAAAACCTATCTCGTCAGTAAAAAAAAACCCAAAATCAAAGTTTCATTTTTGTCTTCCTTTGTCTAGCACAAAATCCAGAAGTGTTTTCCAAGTAGAAACAAAAGTAATTGTGGTTCCCTCCCCTCCTTTAATCAAAGCATTCAATTTGCTCACCTCTGCTACCCCCCGTCAACCTTTGCAGCTGTTCATCCATTGTGGGAATAAAAGTTGGAATCCTTTCCCTCCCTTATTTTTCATTTGCTTTTGTATTTAGAAGTTTAATAACATTTGTGTGCCGCCCAATCCCATAGGACTCCGGGCAGCTAACAATACAAACAAATCAAAAGAAAAAGAGGAAAGAAAAGATAGATTTAAAAACACACCATGCACTCCATT